ATTGACCACTCTGTTGCTGAAGTCGTATTTCCTGCAATCAAGTTTGGTGCGGTTAACCTTGAGTTTGTATCTATTGTGTGCTCTTATGTTATGGTTGAAGCTGAAGTATTCATTGACAGGTAGGACACTGCAATGTATGATTTTATATACCATACTTAGATCAGACCGAAGACGGCCTAATTCAAGGTTTTCTAGGTCTAGAATTTCAAGTCTGGTGGCATAAGGTATTCTACAACGAGTAGAGGAATGGAGAACTCTTCCTGTGAAATATTTCTGGACGTTCTCAACTGTGCTAATATCAGATACGTAATGTGGGTTCCAGACTGATGAGCTGTATTCGAGTATAACAAATGTTTTGTATGTTCTAGTTAGTAGTGTGATATTACTAGAGAAAAAGCTACGTAGGATTAGGTTAATGCCTTTTTGGCTATGTAGTTACAATGGGCTCTAGCACTTAGATCATTAGAGATGAGTATTCCAAGGTCCTTGACAGAGCTTGGATCATCAACAAGGTCTTGACTATTCAGCTTGTATTTTATTTTCTGATTTTTTTTGTCAATATGTAAGACAGAGCATTTATTTGTTGAGATTTGAAATTGCCATTTGTTTGACCATTCTGATACATACTCAATATCTTTTTGAAGGGTAGCAGTATTGTCTGTGGTATTGAACAGCTTTACATCATCAGCGAAGAGAATGAAGTTGCTCTTAATATGATCACAGAGGTCATTTATGTAGAGTATGAAGAGAGTTGGTCCTAGAACGCTGCCTTGGGGGACACCACTATTGACAGGTACAGAATTTGGATAGGAACTTAACTAGGAAGGCCACCGATTATACAGAATCACAAATGTGGAGGTTAACTAGTCCTTACTTAGTGCAAGCTCTCCTAAATGTTCTTTTACTTTCCCCTTATGTATCCTGGGTTGTACCGCCTAATGGCTGTTTCCTAGAGCTTAGCTTCTTTTCTGACAGAAGACAAATGTAAAACACTGGTTAAAATATTTTGCTTTCTTGATATCCTCAATTTCCTCCTTCCTCTCTGTAAAAGATTTACAAACTCCTTTCCTCTTCTTCTGTTTCTGCTGTATACCCAAAAAAGCCCCTTTTATTATTTAGGATATTTCTCCAAGCCTGTGCATATTCTAGCTTTTACATTTTAGTGACACAGACTCTATAGTTTCTGATAACTGCTTTATATTCTTATTTGGTTATGTTCTCCTACTACCATTTCCCCCTCAGCATTTTAGCAAACTGTGGGATTCCATACTGCTTTCTTCATACGTCCATCATTTTTATTTGATATTGTTTGTTCAGGCACCTTCAGAATCTTCTTTCAAATAATTTTATATCTTCATCTTACCCTGTTGCTTTAGTATTTCACATCATTAGCTCTGGATTCATTACAATCTGCTGTTTTGAAATCCAATTCAGTCTGACTCTTCTCTATTTCTTGTCCCCTTAATATCATGAATTCAAGGATAATGTAGTCACCTCCTCCCAACATTTCAGTTACCTTATCAAACATTCTTAACAAGATTTCCAGGTTCTAACTTATTAATTCTGTGCAAGCATGTGCTTTTTTATCTAACCACGATACCTCTTCCCTTTCTGCTGAATCTGTTCTTTTTGAATAAATGTCATTTGTGTCATTTCACCAAGTTTCTGTGATGCTTATCACATTATATATATCTTCCTTTGTTAGCGTTCCAAACTTTCTATATTTGCCATACATTGTGTTCATTGCTGTAGAAACATCTGAAATATTGGTGGTACCCCTGCTGGCTTTATTGCTATAGTTTCCTGCCAATGATCCCTCTCTGCCTATCTGCTTCTCCTTTTATTTCTTGCATTGTTGACCCCGGTCCTTGGAAGTGTATTCAGTTCTTGACTTTTATAAAAGTTCTTTCATTCTGGGTTTAATGTGCCCCTGATGAAAATAGTGAGGTGCCAAAAATATCCATCACAGTCTTTGTAGCTTGCCTCTTGCCAGAATGTCTTTGTGTGGCCGCATAGCCTATGATCACAAAATATAAACCTTTCTCAGGAGTGCCACCTTGACAGACCATCCTATTCACTTCCAGGATTCTGAAGCCTTAGTTCCTTTCAGCAGGGGATTATCCATCATCAGGTAAATTACCAACCATCATGAAATGTCTGCTCTTCCACCAATTAGTTCTTGTGTCTCTTTGAATCATGGAGATCTGTGAGTCTTTCACTGTCTTCTGTGAAATTATGGTTGGCAAAGGTTGCCCAGATAGCTGTGGGCTATCTACTAGAGGGAGAGAGTACAATAGCAATTATTGAGCTCCATCAACACTGTGTGTCTCACAATCCTCTTTCTTTTCCAGATCACATGCTTTCAATTCTCTTCTGCTTTGCAGTCTCTGGGATTCACTTCCCTTTTATGTCTCTGAAGAATTTTGCCTGTTCTGTCCAGGACTTCTCACTTTCTCTGGTGGGCTGTAGTGTAGAAACTCTGCCCTAAAACCTTGCACTTCTAGCAGCTTTAGTTTATGTTCTTTCAGGCAGAAAGATAAGTATTGTGCATATCTTATAAGATCATCACAGCACTTTCTCTGCTATTAAGTTGTTTGGAATCTTTCATTCACAATCCTCCTGCTAAAACTCTCCACAAAACCTCTTACTGTATTTGCTTGTCTTAATCACAAGGTTCCCAGAAGCTACCATACTTCTCTGGAAATATATCATACTACAAGTGATCAGGAAACTGAGATTATTAAGTAATAGAGATATTCTATTGGCATCATCTTTCTGAAATGTTACATTCAATTGTCCTTAATATTTATTAGTTTGTTAACGGAAATTAAAACTATGACAGTCTTGGAAAAACAACATATTCCTTAGCCTTGCTTCTTCCCTCCCATATTCTCACAATAATTAAAGTCTTTATTGAAAGATAATATTTTGTGCTAATTCTCATGGTATTCTATAGCACATTATCTCTAAACATGGAGGTATTATGTAACAACCATTGCTAAACAGTAATTCCATCAACTCTGAACAGATTAAACAGAGTTAAATTTTGCACATTCTCATGATTTAGTAAGAAACTATCAGATGAAGATAATAAAAAATGAAAGTTTCTTTAGCCATGCTTGTTTTTTTGCTGCCACTAGGCTGATTGTAGAAACAAAAATTGGTAACCTGGGAGAACAAAAGCAGAAAGTGTTTTGTTTGTTTGTTTTGTGGAGTCTAGCAGATTAGTACTTGTGCTGAAAATCTGATGATAAATATGTGTTTGGAACTAAACTTCTTCTGTTCTAAGTTTGTGAAAAAACAAGTCCTTCTCTACAATACACCAGAGAAAATTATATGTGAAAAAAATGACTTTTTCTGGATTGCTTTTTGAAGAAAAATAAGAAGGGAAAATGAGGAAAAGAATGTTGCAGTCTTTTCTCTAGTTGCTCAAAGAAAGGGTAGTAGTCATCTATAGTGAAAACAGGGCCAAAACTCTAAACTCTGTGGCATTTAGTTGAAGGCAATGAGAATACATTGTGTACATTCAAGATCTATTTTTGGCTATCTTAAGAACTTTTTACTGTAAATTCACTGTATATTCCTCCTCGGTGAGAATTAAAATGTTGGAGTATCAGAAAAAAGACTCAGGTTACAGTCTTCCTTATGCATGAAAGACAGCTTGGTAACCTTGGGCTAGTCATTCCCTCTCAACCCTAATCAACGTCATTGCCTGTGACAAGCAAGCTAATAACAAAATCTTTTGTTGCATCATATATTCATAGTTTTTGTATATGGACCAAGCGACTATACTGCAAAAACAAGGAGACAATAATGTGGGATAAGCACTAAGAAAAACACTGTTCCTCCTTCAGAAAATAGTAAAATGAAATATAACTGACAAATTATGATTTCATAATGTGAAGCCATCATCTTTAGTTCCTTCTTTGTTTGTAAGAAAGAAGAAATGCCATCTAATTTCTATTCTTAATGTCATTCATAGAGTGAAGTTGCATCTTCCTCAAGTACAGTACTACTTTTGTTTTTTTCTAAGTAGCGTTAAGGGTATATTTCTGTAACACATCTTGTTCATCACATCAGTATAAAATATTTTGGGAGTTTCTTGAGGATCTTAAAAAATCTTTCTGGTTATTTCTGAATGTTATTTCCACATTCAAATTCTTAGGCTCTCCCTGTTGGACATCTTCTGCCATAATGTTTACATTAAACAGAGAATTGCATGAGCCCCCAAAGTCTTCTCCTAAAATATATCTGAAAAGGCATCCTCCAAATGTTAATTTATATTATAAATCATGTATCTAAATATTCTACTTCTTGATGACATACTAAATGCAAACCAAAGAAAAAGAACAATGCTAAGCAACGAAAAAGAAAGATGGTTTTCCAGACAAAACTCCTCACAAAAGGTGCTCATAACTCAAAAGGAAAGCAGAACAGCAGTAATACTCCAAAGGGATACTGCTCCAGAGGGTAGACACACAATGGAGAAGGCATGTTGCTTGCATCCCATCAGATGACATTGTTTAATGGATGAAACCCAGAACAGCTGACTCTGTCAAAGGTACAGGAGAGCTAGAAACAATGGGAAGACTTCTTCAAATATCTAAGCATTACAACATATAGAGCTTTTTGGCTAATAGCATTTCTATAACTGAACATACTACCACATTCTGCATAGTGAAACTTCCAATGGTATTCAAGACCAGTGCCTTATAGGGTAATGCTTTGCAGTCATTCACAGATGAGATAACCAAGGCATGAATAATCATAAGAAGGGTTCTCCTGGTCCAGCAACATTCATAATTGATGCACCAGATGAATTTGTGCAAAAGCCCTTCTGACTGCTACTTGATCTTTAAGCCACAAGTCTTGCTAGTGTTAAGCTTATGCCTGCCCATCTAAACCTTTTTCCCTTCAGACACTGAAATAAGACCTTGAAAAAAAGTTCCACTCCCAAGATTTTTTTGTTAACAAATACATATATGCATAAAAAGACTTACAGTATCATGTGGCCGATTATCCTTTCCTGATATGACCAAGAGGTAATTCCACACCAACAGCATCAACAAGACTAGTGGAATCATGTACAGCTCAAAATTCCATGTTACAATCAGGAAAAGCTGGAACCAAGAAAAAGGTTATTTATCTTCAATTATCATGCAATAAAAGAATGGAATACATGTGAGGGAAGCTTCCTTTGCTATTCAAATTGTACGTTTTCCTGTTTCAGCAGATTGGGAAATTTTGAGTCTATGGGGAAAGTAAAGGCATGGAAGAAGGATTATATATCCATTTACAATGGTGTTAACAATCAGTTTTGTTCACAGAAATAAACTACTTTAATGTACAAAACATGGGGCAAAAGGTATTTCAAATCTCAGATCACACTTATTCTTAACCACTCAGCTAAATACGGCACAGTAAAATTTCAATTTAATAGAATATTGAGGGGAAGAGGTGTCTCTTAAATCTGAACATCTATTAAAATTTATGTCATTTGTGTCAAAGTTCTTATTTTTTATTAATATGTAATTGACTTAAATAGCATCATTTGCAGAGAAATCACAATTTAGAGAGCAGATATAGGGAAGAAGGCCACATAAAACATTTGTCCATTGTATCTGAAGTTTGCTAGATCAAGATCCATTAAATCAAGGCTTAAGTGTCATGTGATATGAGCAGTTATACAAATATGATAAATAAAATAAAAGTAATTATAATTCTGTTTCCCACAGAATGCCAAGCAATTAATTCAAGGCAAAGAAACTAATACTATTTCGCATTTTTGTTTCTTACACAAAAAGTGAAATAATAGCTAGTCTACTACTACAAACAATATAACTATTTTCATCTCTTTACATTAAATTCAGAAGGTTGTTTTATTTTGAAGAAATAAAAATTCAGGTGTCCCTTCTTTATAGCTGTGTAGACTCCTTGGGGGGGAAAGTTTCAAAGTTTGACCATCCATATAAGAAAGTGTTTTAGTACTGTCAATATGAATGCTCTTAATCTGTCAATACTTTTTCTAAGAAGTCCCAAAAAATATTCCAAATGCAGAGTCTTATTCAGAAATACACTTTGGCAGTATATTTTTACGATACTATCAACAAAAGGAACTTGGGTCAACTGCTGAGACTGGAAGTGAATTTTAAGAATTGAACTGCACTTTCAAATTCCAGTTTTGATATATTATAAATGTGTTCATTTTACATTATTGTAGATGAAAGAACAATTACAATATGGATTTATTTTGATAACTCCCAATTAAGATAATTATTTTTGAACACTTCTTCAAACACTCCTTCAAAACAACAGGCAAGAATTCTTCCTCCTCTCTCAATAGGGAAGGACAGCTCTTAAGATGATGTTTGCCAATGAATGGCTTTGTTGTGACACATGCACCGTTCCTGGAAATCTACTTTTATTCATCGTCTGATTTCTGGAGATTTGATCAATCTTTAAAAACTCACAGTGTAATCAGTTATTGATATTGTTCAAATATTATTTTGCTAGATCAGCAACACAAAGAGATAAAACAATACTGTGATCAGTAAAAGGTTAGGCATTTTGATGAAAGCGCCTTTTAAACTTTACATTTAATGTTTGAACATTTTAACCATTACACAAGCAGAAATCCAATATAACATATTCACCTTACATTTAAGTTTCTGAGAAATTACCACTAAGTATATGTGATATCTGTTTTCTAAAAAAAACAATAGATATATGGAAGGCAAAATGTAGAAATCTAGGGTATATCACACACTATTTAAATTCTTAAAAGTGAGAAATATATTATCTAGCTATTTTAAGCGTACTTGTGCAAACAAAAAGCCAGTATGATTGTAATGGAGATAGATTCAATTTAAAGTGATCAATAGGACTGAGTTTTTGAAGGACAGCTTAAGCTTTCAATCTGAAATGAAGGATCTTCACCAATGGAAATAAAGCTTTCTTGTTTCTTATATATACTAACTCATTCCTAATCCACCTTATGTAATAATTACAAGATGCATCATGCATAAGCCAAGTATTATGTGAATCTACGGTTAATTCAGAATTCATTCCAGACTGCATAAATATGTTTGCATCAATGAATAATAAATAAATTTTGTCTGATCACATAAAGTTTGGAAGCAACACAACAGCTTTAAGGTAATGTAATAGTTGTATATTCCAACTCTTTCATTGACTATCTTTCCAATTCTTTGGAAAGTACAGTATTTAATGAAAAAAAGGGAAAAAAAGAACCTATAATGAATCAATAATTGCGTTAAACTTAACTGAAATTTCACATTAGAACTTACATTAGAGAACAAAGCTAAAAATTAAGGTAACAATAGACAAGAAGGAGGAAAAAACCAAAAGTTTTTGGAAATATAAAAGCTTGCATTATAAAATATACTGCATTAATGTTAATTTTTAGTATTTTTTTTTCTTGGCAAGGTTTTTCAAAAGTGGCTTGCCACTGCCTCCTTCCTGAGAGAGATTTATTGGCCCAAGATCACCCAGATTCTAGCCTGATGTCTTAACCACTACACTAAACTGGCTCTCATTCCTTTATTATTTGGTAGGCAATCATATAGATTTCATAGGACTTGCAATCTCTGAAATTAACCCCTCTATCTGTGTTTAAGAGCCAGGTCTTTATGGGCATATTGTTCTCCTTTTGTTGCTGATTTAGCACACCTAATAAACTTAACTATGACATGACAGTCAATCAGATCTGGCAAAATACTGATATTGCCGAGGGCAAGGAAAGTCACATTGATCTCATTCTTAATGTGTTACAGGAGAGGGAATACATGCCACTTGTCAGGGAAGCTGGACTACTGTTCCCTTTTGCTATAATTCCGTGGCAGGTTTATTGCTTGTTTTTGCTGTTACAAAACACTGCAGTGTGATAAAACAAGAAAATATGGATTGATTCCAGTAATATGGACATCTTGGATCAAGACAAAAAGTCAAACACTTTTGGTTTTAAAAAGTCAAATGATTGTGCATTTTTATGTTGAATATATTGTTTCTCAAGCACCATTCAGGGCGGAGCTGGCATCGCGACGATACGGCATGCAATCTTGGAGGTCTGAGATCGCTGCTGATATCTCTGCTCCTGGATGGTCCAATTGGATCTAAACCATCCCAAAGAGACGGTGAATGTAAAGAGCACATCCTGTCGATCCCAGGGATACCGCAAAGTCCCTGGTAGAGCCAGGAGAAGCTCTTTTTGCCAGCGGCAAAGAGGCAGCCATTAAAGCTGCTGAAGTTGGGACAGCTCCGAAACGAAAGAGAATGGAAAGAGAGAGTGTGCCGGTTTGGTGAGAACTTTTTTTTTTATTCTAAGATTTGAAAGGACACCCTAAGGAAAAGAATGAATCTGTAAAAGTTTTGACAGAAGTGACTAAGCGGCGATTTTAAACAGGAATGTCAAAGTAATATATATATATATATTTTCTCATTGCTGGATTTTCTACACACGATCTTATATTTTGAAACTGGACTGGTTTTTTCTCCTTTTTTCTCTTCTTTTTCTCCTTTTTGATTTTATAATACCCTAGGCTAGAGACTCCCTTTTAGTTATTTTTTTAAAAAATATCTTTTTCTTTTTTTTAATTAATTCTTATTATATTTTGCTTGGAAAAGGAGGGGGAAAGTGAAAGCAAAAGAAACTTTGTAACACTGCCAACTACAGGCTTGGAAATATTCTATTTCTCTTTTGACCAGACAAAGCTGAGAAAGAACTGAAACTTCTTTTCAAGGACATTGCCTGTTTGATAAGATAGAGGGAAGAGCATGGGAGAGTATTATTACAGGTGCTCTTCTGGGTTTCTATCAACAGCTGGAGTCTGGTGTTGAAGCTTATAGGAAAAGAAAAGGTGATAAGTCTCTGGAGAAGAGAGTTATAACAAGAGCCTTGGATAATTAACCAAAGTGCAGTGTGCTCTTTTTATTTTTTCTAAGCTGCTCTACCCCTCCTCATCAATTTACTTTTTGTAATAGCTATTTGGATTTTTGGCCCTTTGGAACTTGTCTTTGTTTTTTGTTTTGTTTTTGTTTTTCTTGTCTTTGGAAGTTAAATTTCTACGCTTGCTCTTTATTTTAAAGGAAAAGCTTTAGTATTAATGATTTTCTTCCTTTTCTTTTTAAGGGAGTAGTCTTTTTCTTTTTTGCCCTCCCCCTCCCTGGTATTTTTGTCTTTCCATCTATCTTCCATATTGGCTTTTTTTCTTTTTTCTTTTGTTTATTTTTCTAGCTTTCTTTTTTCTTATGCATCCTTTTATATTTGAGACCTGTTAATTGGATTAAGGTGTTGAAGAACCTGAAGAATTTTCCCTTTCTCTTTTTTAGCTTTTTATTTTTCACGTTTCTGCCTTTTTTAGGATTTTACAACTTTTTCTATCTAACCAATCGATTGGATTAAGGTATACAAGAACCTGAAGAAATTTTTATTATTATTATTATTATTACTATTTGGCTTCTTTTTTCCTACTATTTTTATTTGGAATTGCAATTGGTTATTTCGCAATTGGATTAAGGTCTAGAAGAACCTGAAGATTTTGAATTGCTTGAAATGAGTAGGAAATTAACAGCCCCTGGTTCCTCAACTTCTACTTCTTCCTCTCCACCATCTGGAGGACAATGTTCAATACAGACAATGTTACGGCAAGAAAAAGAACAAGAAAAAGTGACCCTGCAGATGATTATGCAAGGAATTCAAAATATTCAAACAAGAACAGAGAATATTGAAAAGAGAACAGAGAACATTGAACAAAGAACAGGGAAAACCGATGAAAAGGTGGAGAACATCCAACAAATGATGATGAAGTACGATGAGAGACTCCAAAAAATTGAAGAAGAAGATAAACATAGAGACAAGAAGATTGGAAATATTGATAAGATTAATTGTGGTTGAACAAGATAAAAGTGGTATGCTGAGATGGGAGATGGATAGATCAGAATTTTATCTTAGATTCCAAAACATAGAGGAAGAAAAGGGACAAAACCTAGCTGAGATAATGATAGAAATATTGGCTGAAGCTTTAGAAATAACTGAAGAGAAGATGATGGATGGAATAGATGAGGTCTATCGAGTCTTCACAAGATATGCAATGAGAAATAG